AGGTATAAGAAAAATGCAATAAAAACACCACATTTGTTAAATACCTACCTAGCTCATTTTCCGTAAGCGGGTAAAATAAGGGGTTCCTCAAGGGTCTATTCTGGGGTCAAAGTGTTTTATTTGCAAAGTAAAATGTTGGAACAAGTAAGTTTCAACAAGTAAAGTTTCCGTAGGTACTGAATTCCCAACTAATTGATCTACTAAAATTAATGTATTTTGATGATCTACTAAAATTTTTATATTAAATATGGATGTTATATTAATTATGATTGTTGCCAAACAAAATAAGTCAATTAAGCCATTAAAGTTCAGCCGGGGTTGCGGGTTAAGCGCAATGAGGCACCGCGACCTCGGCCCAGAGCAGGAGAAGGAACGGGGGGATTTTTAGTCAGTAAGAGTCTGACACTCTCTCTCGCCTTACCCTGGGCGGGAGAAGTCATTGGATGATTTTCCCCTGACAAAAAAAGGACATTAAAGTTAGAAATTCAAAGTTTTTTTACATTATCACTTCTACAAGATTGTTGCAGGAAAACCGGTTTCTGACGTAATATTTTTAACATCAACCTGTCATACCGGTTAATAAATTCGTTAAAAAAACGAAAACCATAATATTATCGAATCTATGAATGAAAGTGTCATTTATTAACCGACTTCATTTTTTAAATGTTCAAAGGAACAGTTAAGTAGAAATATACTTAATTTACTTTTGACCAACGAAACATCGCACTTGGACGTCACACTAGCATTTGTAATGAGATAAATGAGCATGGTTCCCGTTGCAAGACATGTTTTTCGAGATTTTTTTTTGCAAAACATCGGAATCTTGTTGGAACAAGTATTGAATTTATTGTTGCTGTTTCGATACTGCCTGTTTGGCCTAGTTACAATGTTCTTATGTGTCTGTCCGGCGCCTGCGCACCTGGTAGAAAGGTGAAAAGCCTCTTAAATGTCCCCAGAATGCGCAGATAACGCACCATACCACTAAAAAACTTAAGTAAGCACTAAGTAGGCTACTCTTTTACTAAAATTGTTTGTAATTTAAATTTTATCTGTTAAATCTCAAATTATGATACTGGGAAAGAAATAAAAGTATTTGAGTAGAAGGTGTTAACCACAAAAATGTTTATCTACCTACATGATGTTACCGGCATTCCTTAGTTCGGTAACAACAAGGAGTTGCGCATTAATTTAAAAGAAAAAAACAGATGTGTTTTATGACATACTATGTCATCATACGTTTACGAGTGTACTTGTATAGGTAGTGCCTACCATTTAAAATACTTGATTAATGATTTTATATGTCATGTAGGTATTGGAATCCTCCGTACACTATTGCCTCTGATAGTACTTTCGCTGTATATTAAGGGCTTAGGACTTTTCATTTCAGAGAGTCGTATATTTTTCATTGGGTACTTACATACCTACCCACTTTATGTTGACATAAACTTGCCTAAATATTTGAACACACCTAAGTACAAGCATTAGGCTTTGTACGAGTGCCAAACGTAATTCATTTACTCAGTTAAGGAAAATTTTCGTTGATATGTGAACGGATGGTACTGTTCCAAAGTAGATATTAAATCGTGATGTTATTAGAATAAAAAATACATTGGGTATTATGTAGGTCTATAATATACCATGCCAGAATATTACTTATAGGTGTGAAATATATTGAGAAAGGTATAATTATGGCTAGTTTTATTAATAGTTTAATATCTTTACGTATCGCAGACTACTATCTATAAGTATATTATTTATACGTATCTCTGTTAAGTGGGATATTACCTAGGTATGCACAATTAACTTCCTGTATATAACAAAAGGTATGAAAAGGCATAAATGACGAAAATGTAAATGAAAAAAGAACCTACTAATTTAAAGACAACTGGTGTACCGGTCACGCTAGCCTCCTGAGTAGGTATTAAACATCCAAGAAGTAGAGATCTTTTAGGGTTAGATAAATGTAGAGCTCTTTTACTTTGATTGCTTTAATGTCTAAAAATTGGTAGGTATACCTGATTGGTAGGTATAGCATTAATGTTATACTAATATATCGAAACGGAGAAAGTATACAATTTAGACTCCTACTGCTGCATTCAAAGCAATAGTTTTCAATACATTTAGTTGCGGTTTTAACGTCCAAGGCGCTAAGATGCAGCGCCTTTAGATTTTATGTTAACTTAAAATAAAATTATCAGGCGCTGACTTAAATAAATTACGACACTCCATAAAATCCAAATTCAAACTAATATTATAAATGCGAAAGTAACTTTGTCTGTCTGTCCTTTCTTCACACTTAAACTACTGAACCAATATCTGTGAAATTTGGTACCAATAGACATAGTTTGGAACTCAAAGGACATAGGATAGTTTTTATTCCAAAATTCTGCAGGAAGTCACTAACTTAAGTCCACGTGAACAGAGTCACGGGCAAAAGCTAGCAAAATAAATAAGTGTGGTGCTATGGATAAAATCGCACCAAACTATATCTAATATATGATTAAGACATAATGAACCCTCTACATATAGTATCTAAGTAACTGTAATGGCCTGTTTAAAATTCATTCAAAGCGGGTCACTAATAGCGTAACTACTGTAAACATTATTGTATAACTCACATAACAAGCAGATCTGTATCGCATGTAGGCAATAGGTATCTATTATGATCCCTCATGATTCGCTAATGCTCTTAATTACACCATTACTGATAATAATTCCATAATTTTGCAGAATATCAGTGTTATGGAATTTGTGACATCGTCATTAGGTGTTTATAAGTGGTCGTGCGGGTGTAGGACCAGCAAACGGTGGGCAGGACTAAGTGGAGCGGAGTGGAGAAAGTGTTGGTGGCCTGGTCTGACTGCGGTCTGTAGTGTGTGCGGTGCAGGCGCGTCGTCACCGCCATTCGTCCTCCTCCTTACACACTGTGACCGTCTCCTCGTGAGTTCCGATTTCATTTTTAACCTTGATTTTTATTCGTGATGTGTTGTGCAGTGTTGTGATCACAACTAAAACGACGGTTTGTATTTTTCTAATTCATTATTAGTCTAAAAGGTGCGCTCCTCCATTAAGAAGACTCATATAGACACCCTACTTTATATTTTTGAGTTAAGTATACTTAAACAAACTTGTGCTTCTGTAGAAAAACGTCATTAAAAAAAAAACAATATAATCTTTCTTTTTATGCTCACATTTCGCAGATAATACGACATTCCAATTCCTGTTTAAAGCAAAATTACATTTAACAAACTAAGAACTTAATTACCTGTTCCGTTGGAGACGTGTTGACATGACATGCATTTCAAATTAACGTCTGCAGAACGACAGTTGTATTTAAAATGCGTTTTTTAAATTCTTTTCTTTTGATAGGTAGCAATAAAGCCTGCGTGTAGTTTACACGACCCCACTATGTTAATTATTAGGTATCTCTTTGGATCTACACTTATAGCTATATACAGCTTAATTAAGCAAAGGGTTCCCAACGTTGGTTAGGTATCAACCTACTCATATTTTTATGTTTGTAGTCCTTATACGAGTAGGTCTCCTATAGGTACTCTTTTCTGTTCGGTAACATCTATCAAACAGGAATTTCAAGAAGATCGCAACACAGACTCATCGCGTTATAGTATCTATGCAATAAAAATGATAATATTACATTTTTGTATATTTCAAATATGTATCTTTATATGCTTTCCTCAAAAAGTTTCTATTGCTACTAAGCAGTTTTCCGTGAAAGTACTTTTATTTCTATGAAATAGGCGGTAAGGAGGAAAACCGACGACTCTCTACTATCTAAAGTGTAGAGAGTCCCGGGAACCGCGGAGTCGCACGCTGCACGCATACCAATCGGGAAATTTCAATTTTATTCTATCACTCACCATTCAACAAATTATTTATAGCCGTTTCGATTATGTTGCAACACGATTTCTAACGAAGAACTAAATAGGTTAACTCTAAACGTTCTTCGAATGAAATAATGAATGTACCTAATGTTAAACTGCGATTTTTTTCGTACACGAAATGCCCACTGCCCTTTAAAAAAGGAATAGGTAGGTAGGTAGCTGTCATCTTTCGTTTAAGACCTTAACATTCTTTGTACAACAATGAATGAAAAAAATCATTAAGGTCAGAGGTCGCAACCTAAGCTGTTAGTAGAAAATAAATTCTCGTAATTCTTTTAGCCTTAATATTCAAATTGGAAGAGAAAACTTTCTTTACATTGACTAAAGTATCACAAAAAAGACGAGATGCGAAGATGTATGTTTCAACGATTACGTCCTTCTGTTTGCATATAGGTACGATTACAAAGGCGGGCCCAATATGCTTCCTTGAGGTATCCATAGCACGTGACTTGTAGTTGATACTTGTCGTTATCAAGAGTTAAAAAAAAAAACAAAATAATGCTAATAGATGTTGTTTTGATGAGTGATCTTAAGTTAGCGGTACCTCAGCAACTCACAGCGGGTTTTTTGACCCGGTCACGTCGTGTCCTTGATTCTCCGTTAGCGTTATCAGCAATGCAATCTCGTTGGAAACCTGATTACTAAGTATACTCAAATAAATTGTATTGAGCTGTAAAAACAGCCTGCTTGATTGCGATAAGGATGTTAATTATGTGATTGAACTTGTTATGGTTTCCAAGATGGGAATGTATGAGAACGCTGGTCTTTTTATTTTTAGGTGTGTCAAGCTCACTTAGGTAGTTCTTTCTAAAGTTAAGTACCTACATCATTAGTTTCCCAACGTAGTAACAAGGACATCTTTGTAAGAGAAACCGAGACAGACTTAGGTAATAGGAATTCTAATTTAGTAGGATCTTTTCATGATCTCTAATGAAGCCAATAGTTTAGTTACCAGAATACTTTAGTTAACGAGTAGGTTACCTATACCTATGATTTGGTTTTGTAATAGGGGTTATTTATTTCTAGATAATAATTACGATGAACTGGGCTGTCCTGTTGGTGTGCCTTGTCGGCTGGACGAGCTGTCAGGCTGCAACCATGGTCGAACCCCAAGAGAAAGAGAAAGGACTTATTGAATGGATCACTAATCTACTTGGGAACAACCCAAGTACAACTACTGTCACACCAATTTATCAGGAGCCTCCCACAAATTGTCCTGTTTGTCGTAAGTACCTACTAAGTTATTATAAAAACTTTATTTTAAAGTTACTATCTAAGTAATACGTAGCATCATCAGCCTAAATCAAGTTCCCTGTACTGAGCAAAGGCCTCTGCTCACACGGAGAAACTATGTGAATTAAATTAATCACCACGCTTGCTGAAGGCAGATTGGGACTGCTCCAGATTTCCTCACGATGTTTTTCTTCATATGGTGAAGGACAGTGGTGTTTCTAAATACACTTTTTGAATCTGAGTCAACCATTTGTAAATTAGACAAACGTATGCGTTTGAAGTTCTGTAATTCTATTTAATATCATATCTGTAACTAGGAATTTGCTTTTAAGTGACATGTCATTATGGGGTTACACTACTTTTCGTTTTCAGAATGTGGTGTGGCACGTACAAAACGTCGTATAGTCGGGGGGTACGAGACAAAAGAGCGCGAATATCCCTGGATGGCTATGTTGATGTACAATGGGAGGTTTTTCTGTGGTGGATCCCTCATCAACGACCTTTATGTCCTCACGGCTGCTCATTGCACTGGGTATGTGATTTCTTCTGTAAATAAGAAAGATTTTTTTTTACTGAAAGTTATTAGTCATTTGAACGTGGCGGTTGATCTAAATTATTTAATTCATGTGGTATTCTGTTAATCGATCGGATCAAAATTCGTACCTACCCTCAAATACACTTATCTGCAACTTTTTATAAATTTTGATATATTTTTTGTAGATTTCTTGTGTCTCACGATAGTTAGACTATTTACAATCACTATCACTACAAAACAAAGTCATTTCCCACTGTGAGCCTCTATGTCATGCTTAGATGTTTAAAAGCTAAGTGACAGATTTTGATCCGGTTTTTTTTAATAGGTACGTTGAATGTTTCGTTAGGCAAGTTTAAGAATATGAGCTAGAGAGGAAGCTATTTATTAAATATAATTATTTTTAAATAAATAGTAGATGCAATAATGCCGAGAAAGTAGCGCCCAGTTATTTTCCTACAAAACGGACGATGGCCAGTAGTAGGTACCTAGGTACTACTAGGTACCTACCTACTACTACCTAGGTACCTACCTACTTGTACCTATTGCTACGTTCTATACATAGGTACCGATTTACAATCTAGGTAAATGAATACTGAGATCAACAGTACCATTTGATGCCAACTTGTCCCTAGTAACATATATTATATGCATAACAAAGCTTAGGGTACCTAAAAATAGTAGAAAAGATTATGTTGCACGCAGTATTGGCCTTCTGCCACCTGCATTCTAGTGAACTGCATCTAAATGATCATGTTAATATTAAACAGGTACACATTCTCACTCACAATGATCTGATTATACTAGAAAATCAGGACACTCATGGCTATGGGTCCTTTAATTCGATTTTCTTTTTGCAAAAGTCTGCCCTTTAAGTTTTTAGAAAACAATGGCGCAATAAATTTTGCACATCGTTCAATTTACAAGAATTACAAAAACAGTTAAGACTTTACATTATTATACCTATCTCTTTATAAAAGTAGATATACAATTTTTAACGCCGTGTACTATCACAAGTACCTACTAGACAGATGTAATTAAGAACGAAAAAGGAGAACTGACTGAATGAGTTGACAAAGGATTTATGTATCATCCACGCTAAAGGTGGTTTGGTCACCTTTGGTTGGCCCGTATGTAACACAACACAATAAACAATTTAAGAAAACTTCTGTAACTCTGCAGGTACCGTAAGGAGCGTATCACTATTCGCTTGTTGGAACACGACACGACAAACCCTAATGAGACGAAGACTATCGACAGGAAGGTAGCAGCCGTCATCAGACACCAGCGCTACAACCCTGGCACGTACGACAACGACATCGCGCTTATGAGGCTTGATGAAAGGGTAACGAACTGCCTAAGTGTTTATCAAGTTGTATTGAGATACAATTACTCACACGTAATACCTGCCTACCTACAAATTAAGCCAAAGATGTAGATAATAATCCGATCGTCACGCTATAGAAAAATATACGTCTTCATCAATCCGTTCCGCCAATGCAAACTTGCCAACGACATCTAATGTTTGTTTTGAAGTCGAATTGCGTGATAAATCACCACTTTCACGTGATGGAATTCCTCAGCGCTAACGAATTTCTTTTACTTGCACTCTTTTGTGGAACAATGTTTTAACATAAGTGTCAGATGTGTTAACTTGGAATCTGGACATTCTGATAATTAAGTGTTCTTTTTATAAGTATGATAGGTTCCGTTGGCAAATAAACTGACGCATCACCTGATAAGCCCGGTAAGCAAACGAGGCCGCCTTGTAATGCCAAAGGACGAACGAACGAAGAAGTGCGTTGCCGGACTTTTGTGGGTTGTTAGGGATTTAATTAAGGGTAGAGGATTTAGTGATTGAGGGTTAGAGGTCGGGAAGAAGTATTACGCCAATGGTAACCTCGCTCACCCGTTGAAACACAACGTAAATGTTGTTTCGTCCCGGTATTCTGCGAGGCCACATGACTCCAGTCGAGCTTGTGCTGGCTCTCCCACAATGACTCCAAGGTTTGAAGTAGTTTTCCACAAATGGTTCAAAAAGAGGGAGATTCCAAGTACCTGTATACCTTAGTGTGATTTATTCCAATACCTATACATTTAGTAGTGAGGAAATTAACTAATTTCTTTGACAGTTGGACTTGAGCACGGCAGTAAAGCGAATCCGAAGGGACGAAGATGGTACTACCCCTGCTACTGAAGAAACAACTGCAACACCAGACCCAGCTGATGACGTCAGAGTGCGACCTGTCTGCTTGCCCACGCCGGGACTGTCCTACACACGCGAGTGTGCCGTGGTGATAGGCTGGGGTGTCACGGACGAAGGAGGATCCGTCTCCAATACGTTGCAAGAGGTTGATTTTATTGTTTTTTATCTTCACTATCAGGAACGTTTTGCAATATATCTCAGATAAGAGCTGTGACGCGGACTGATGCAATTTAAGCTAGTTTAACATTAAAATCTTAAATTAATAAATATTGTCTCCCAGGGTTAGGGATGCATACGAAATAGCATTCTTGTCCTATTTTTATGCATTGCTATTTAACATATTTTCACATATGAGACAGATCAGACCTAAATAATTTATTTGTTACACTAAAAAGTGCACGAAGGATGAAATGAATCCGCGTCTTATTGTAGACAGCAGCCAGCTACTTAATTACTCCCTGTTTACCTAATTCAATAGAGCCACCTGGTAGCTAGTTTTAAGACTTTGAATCCCCCGTCATGCAACATAGCAGTCTTCTCCACTAATTTAATCGCGAAAAAGTTTATTACGTCCATCGATATCTTATCCTATCGATGGGGTTCTATATAATCAACCCCCCTTTATGTCTATAGGTAAAGGTGCCAATCGTTTCCAATGCGGAGTGCAAAGACCGATCATACGGCAGACGGATCACAGACAACATGATGTGTGCTGGGGAGCCAGATGGTGGCCGAGACGCATGTCAGGGTGACTCTGGAGGTCCCCTACATGTCTTCAATCAGACCACCGAGAAGTACCAGGAAGTCGGTTAGTGCTGTCGCTAAAATTTATTTTTTATATCTGGATCAGCCTTTTTGGAGAACAATGTTCTTAACGTATTTATAAAGGAACTCTGAAGAAAAGGCGAACTTTCAACAAAAGGACGGGTTTACGAAGCACAGTGACTTCTATTTATAGATATTCTCAGCTTAATAGAAATTTAATCAGCCCAATCTAGCAGTAACAAATGTCCCGTCCAGTCTTACGATCCCAAATCTTGTTGTGATTACAGGTGTGGTGTCTTGGGGAGAAGGTTGCGCAAGGCCCGACAAATATGGCGTGTATTCAAGAGTCAATCGATATCTGACGTGGATAAAGAGCAACACGGCGGACGCCTGTTACTGCAACTAAATGGCAATGTACAATCGTTTGTAAAAGTGACCAGACAAAGTTATGACAATGTAGTCATGGACTTGGCTTTTACAGATAATCTATAAATTCGAGTGCCAGATATAAACAAAGAGTTTGAAATTTGCAGATTCATACACATTGTGTTAGTTATTATGGATCTGACACATTTGTTTGGTTAAGATGTTAAAATCCAATGTTTTGATAAATGTAAAACTAAAAATGAACCAATATGAACATCTAAAGCATCGAAAGTGAGGTTTAGATAGTTTACAAGTTTTATTGGCAGCAGATTCCTCCCAACCAGCTGTTGTGGTAGTCACAAGGGGAGGTCTCTATATTCACCAATTATTATGTACATTTAATATTTTGTTTTAATTTTTGTAACTTTGTCACTCAACTTTTGCATTATCTAGGTAAGCATAATTATTTTAAACAATAGTATTTATTTAATAAATAATTTGGGATGATATCTCTTTTCGTTTTATTTAAAAGTTGTAACATTAGGAATAACAGCACAGATATAATGTTAATGGTCAATTTGGTAGAGTACTGGTGTAAAGAAACAACAGTTTTATAATTTATTTGTGTATTATGACATAATTTACAAATAAGCTGACAATTATTTGATCTATATTTATAATATTTGAAAGGCTCCTACACTACTCAGACTACGGACTATGGGAATTAATTTATATGCTATAGTATTCAGGTCCACAAGTAATTGAGCCTTAATTTAAATATCATTTTGTGGATACTGTACATCAAGAATATGGAATAATTTTTTATCTATAATTAAACATCTATATTTTTGCAATATTATGAAGTTATCGATTTCAAAAATTATTTCCCTGCAGGAAAGATATAATATAGATTGTTATCTTATACTAACACATGAAATGGTCTAGATACATAACTATAGTAATGGGATTAAATATTAGTAAAAATGTCTAAATAGTGAGGAAAGTTCAGACAGAACACTGCTGTAAATATGGCCAGGAGTTGATAAGTTATCCAAACCTGGGTTGAGTGGTGGCATTCGCGTGTCAGTTCCTGTGGTGGTAGATGTGACTGTTTCTTCAACAATTTCATTGCCTCTTTTCACTATCCGTCTGGTCTCAACTGATCCATCAGGCTTAGTTACACTTGTTGTGATGATCGTCTGACAAAATGACCGACCCGGTACTAACTCCCCATTGAATGGTGTGACAGGAACAATCTGATTGTCTTTCTTTGTTTTGAGTAAACCAGATATTTCATTAGACGATATTTTACCGTCTAAATCTATATCTTCTTTTATCTGCTCTTGTTGGCGATTGTGGTAGCCTGGCTTCAGATAATAGTCCCGTATGTTACCTCCAGGGAAATTTTCTTGTTCACCATGCTCTGGAGGGAGTGGGTTGATGGTCGTAAATGAATCAAAGGGGTTCTCGTTGATGAATGTCTTTACATCTCCAAACATAGTACTGAAGGTTTCGATCATTTCATGCATCTGCCTTGAGAACTCTTGGTGAATGTCCATAGCAGTGTTGAAGTCTTTCATTTCGTGCCTGGTGTACAGCTCATCACCGTCATCTTCGTCGTCGGAGCTCCAAATCGGATTTCTAAAATCATTTCTAGGCGGATCCTGTTTTATGCCCAAAAACATTCGTAATTTGTCCATGAAATTGTTTTGCGCCATTATGAGTTCAACTTGTTGATTTTTCAGATGACGATGGGAATCTGTATGTTCGGTTAATTGAGCGGTTACTGTTGATATTTTATTTATTGCGCAACAAACAAAAATTATTCGACAGCTGTTTTCTGCATCAAGTCCAGTATTAAAAGTCACAAATGAAGCATAGCCGATATCTGCCGTTTCAACTTTAGATATCGTTTTATCGAGATTACGGACCGATTACCGAGGTTTCGTATTTTATAATGCTAAAAAAATCTCTATAAAATCTTTAGGCTACGGAACGTACAGCGGCGAAAAATGTCAATGTTTTCATTCCATTCAGAAATGTTTAGAAGGTACTAGAACTTTTAATCAGTAGGATTGAAATTAAAAAAATAAAGAGTGATCTATTTGTATTTTGGGTAGGGTTTATGACCATAATGGCAACCAAATACTGATGCTAAATAATTCTAACGTAAGAGCCCTAGATAAGAATTAAAATCCAATGCAAACCTATAAACTTTGTTTCTGAACGAAAAAGGTATGTTGGTTCATTTCTACCACTGAGAAAATTTCTTGTCAATGATTTCTACAGGCTAAAGACATACTTGTGTGTCGTGGGGTCGCGTGTCGTGTGTCGCGATTATGGTCGCGACGCGAAAGAACGCCCTCAGTTTTAGTTTAGGCAGCATACGACACGACACAGTTATATACCTATTCACGCCACTATCACAAAACTGTAGCCCTAGCTTTATGCATTCAATTCAAAGAGTATGTAACCACTACGTTTAATTCAATTCCCTCTCCCTTCAGACGTATTAAGGAACGAAAGACGTAGCAAGGTAAAAATATTTGTACCTATCGCACAAACATATTGTTGGTATTATAAAATGTATTATATCATTAAGTGCTCAATGATAATGTTGGAAAATATTTTATTACACTCGACTCGACTGAAAAAATATTATGGCAAAACAAATTTAAACCATCTTGTAAAAATACTTAACATTTAGCACTAGACTAGACCTGCGATTGAACTGTGACAGGATGTTAAAAATCCTTCATTTTCTATTTATGTTCCTACTTCCTCTATTACAAGATAACTTTATTAATTCAAACAAAGTTATTTCGGTTTCTCTGAAAGCTTTTATTCGTCCAGATTTTTTCCAACTAGATTTCATTCCTCCATGATTCCAACTGTTTTTTTACCCCGCTGTCAATTATAATATGTCACATTGACATTGATTTATTCTGTTCATCATCAGTCAGTCAGTGCAAATTATACCTACTGGTGGAACAGAGCGTTTATGGTACATAGTGATAAGCATTTGTTGCGGTGCGCGATTGTTTAATATTTTTTATTTATCTAAATTTCATTTAATCGGAAAGTAAATATTTCCCAGACAAATCATTAATGAAGGTTAAATTTAATTACTGTAAAATATCTGGATCATGACCCCTGCTCTGCGGTAGAAAAGTTGCAGCTCCGTAATTAACAGGTATGTTCTATATATTTGTATTTTTTTTGTAGAAAATGTTCTCTGAATTTATTAAGAGTATTTAATGACCGTTTTTAGTCTAACAATGAACTGTTTGATGCATTATTTATTTAGTAATGTGTTACCGTACGGAGTTCCACCCATGCGACGTATTCGTTCACAGTTTAATGCATTAATTCGCATCGCTGCACGTTATTTCATCTATTCGATATTACAATATCATTTTCTCAAATTGATTTCAAGGTTTGTTTCCTATGTCAACTGGAGTAAATATTTAGATGTGCGATATTTTAAGCTGTAGGGAAGTGGACGTTTTAAAACCAGTTTCAGATCCGCGCCTTAATATTTCGGTTGTGTTATAAGTTAGAGATCAGGTGAACCTTGTCAGAAAGATGCAAAGTGATAATTCAAGGGGACTCTTGCGGAAACCTGGTTAGACATATTTATTTTATATTCTATTGTTTCATTATGTGCAATAAAAAATAAATTTAAACTTCACACCTCTTGAAAATTGAATAAAATAATCATTGCAAAAGTCTTACCTATATATCTTACCCTTATGTTAATACTTCTTAACAAAAAGAAAAAAAAAATTGTGGCCAAATATATAACCCCTTCTAAAGTAGGTTATTAAAAAAACTCAAAACTCACAAATTTCTCGAATGATCCAACAGGTATAGTGATTTAATTATGTTTGCAAACCTGTTATTAAAATATCTGTAAACAGTAATTATGAAAATGATGAGCAAAGTTAATTAATAGTATGTACTCTTAAGACTATTAACGGCAGCACATAAAGAGTTCTGCTTATCTGATTGTTGAAAGATAAATGGAAAAAAGGTTCGATACTAATACTGTAGAATGTAGGTAATGCTAATTACCTACATTCTACAAAAAGTATTTATTTTAAATTACTGTTGTAGGCCAGGTGAATGTTATTCATGTTTTGTGGACTTATTTATTTATTTATTTTTTATAAAAATAATAAAATATTTTAGCTTTACCAATACCCAAATTGAGAACCTCCTTAAAAGTCAGTGAGAAATTAATGAAAAAGTAAGAAAAATCAATGAATTTAATTTATTTTGTATAGAAAAGGTTAATAATTTATACATTGAAAGAAACTTATTTTTATGTAGGTGTTTTTATAATCAGTTTTGGTATGATAAGTAGCACAACACCACACACTGCATGTTATTGCCCTTTTTTTATTTAAGTATCAAGAATGAATGCGATTGTCAACTAATTACTTAATTACTCTTTCTGTAGGTAGACAACAAAATAGTTCCTTTTTCTTACAATCAATGTCACATCATCATCGTCATCCTATAAGTGCCCACTGCTGGGCAAAGGCCTCATCTCACACGCAGAAGGTTTGAGCATTAATCACCACGCTTGCTCAATGCGGGTTGGTGATTTCAAACTTGTAATTAGAAATTATAAGTCCAGGTTTCCTCACGATGTTTACCTTGAACTTATCAATGTCACAATGTTGTTTAAATTTTTGTGCTAAAGCTAAACAGAACATATGTTAAATTATCCATTTTGATTGAATTAATGAAACCTTTTGGTTTCTTTTCATAGTACAATGAGTAACCGTCAGAACTTGTTTTTGATTTAAGACCTAGTATTTTAAGTTTTTGTTTTGTTTTTCTTTTTTTTCTGTAATACTTTCCTGATTACCTTTGCTTTCTATATTTATGTTTGGTTGTAGTTTTTAAGTTCATGTCTGTTCTGCGCGAAAATAAATGGTTTTTCTTTTCTTTCTTTCTTTCTAACCGAAATTAATCTACAATACGAAATCTTCGGATTTGTTATGATTGATTTTTGACATTAGACTAACTAACGAACGGAACTTCAAGAATTCGAATCAATTTCGGCCGTTATTGCGTAAAACAAAAGATTTTGTTTGTATAAAGAACGATGATATTATTATGATAACAGTGATTATGTGTACTAGTGCGCTTTAGTAGCGCGACAAGCGCCTACAGGTTGGATTTGAAAAAATCTTTTTGCGTTGTAACTTGTAGTATATGTATATTCCATTTATCATGCAAGGTTTAAACAACGTAGGTTTTTGCGGATCCTAGTGTCTGATATGATTGAACATAGTTTAGATTACTATTTAATTACAGTGGTAATATAAGGCATACATTTAAATAAACCTTTGCGATGTAAGGTAGCTAATAACAAAAATATAGGAATTAATTTGTCCAATGAAAACCTATAGGTAGATACCTCACGGGATTGTCTAAATCCCGACCCTCTTGACCGAAAGTTATACGTAGAGCATTTTAAAATGATCTCATTAAATTGTTTACTGTGTAGTCACTGTGACATCGGTAAATAGGTAATAGTCCCACTCGTGCTTCTTAACTATGATTATTTAGAGAAACATAAATCACACAGATTTATGTTTCTCTTCAGCTTTCAGCCGAAGAAGGAAGAAAGTTCGTTATAATTTGTTACGTATTCTTCTGAAAGATCCTAAAGTTCGTCGATCTAATAAAATGCGGTACCTACCTTCATCGACTCAAAAGGGATACAGTCAGTAGAATGGTGATGAATGGCAATTGGACAAAAATGGCTGTTTGCCTGATTTTTTTTGGATGGGATCGAATATAATGGTTTTCATTTTAATATTTGACCAAACTAGTGAGTCTTTAAGGAACCTTTCGCGTGGGACCGTGCTTCGGCAAACACGCACAAATGGGGCGGTAATAGTCACACCAATTCTATTTTCTTACAAAGGTGCGTCTATGTCTATTTTATCAAGTTCTATAATCTATAAAAAATAAATTTCAGTAGGTTAATGCTTAGCTTGATAATCAGCATGACTCAGTCAGGTAGGCGTTTTATTATCCTCCCCACAAAGAATTAGGTCATTGCAGGCATTGCTGGAATTTATTGGAATTTCACGTTCTCCTCCGTTATATCGGCCAGTTCGTGACTTACCTAGTTCGTGCATACATCTTTATCATATATTTACTATAAAATACATAATTATTAAGTGCAGCATTTTCTAGGAAAATTATTTTTTATTGTTTTCCCATTTACTAGAGGGCGCCACTATAGAATTCGAGTAAGTTATGTTTTTTATAAATAAGCAGAGAAAAGTCCTTACTATGTGGCTGACGTCTCTGTTCGTACCTGTAGAGGATAGGACAAAAATATGTAATTATTTTGATCAAAGTAAAAAGCATTTTCATTCGAATCTTGACCAAAACTGAACACGTGGCGAAACAGATGCCTTTGTTATATTTATTTCCACGCTCATTTACATAATTTACAAAGCGGAACTAAATCCAGCTTATACGATATTTGCTTACGTCAGGGTGTAAATAAAAAATAGGCTGTACTCTTCTGACTTCGAATTTGAATATGTTCGCATGTCATTCTTAAGAAAGTTATTCTTCTCTTCCTATTTTCTGTTCGTGTGAAGGAAATCTATTTAAGATCGAGTTTTCTAAATCATTCTTATGTATTACGTCTGTCTAACTATAAGTATGCCACAAGCTTTTCACCAGCTTATGGTATGAAAATTCCTGAGGAAGGTTCGTCATTGTAATCTTCTTGAATTTTCCTCACAAAATGCTTTGCCTTCTATTGCTCTCTGATTTCAGATCTGTTAATTTTGTCCAAACTTATGTGAAAACTGTTCTTTTGAATAAAGAATATTATGCATAAAAAATGTATGCCAAGATAAAAAAAAAAACAGACGACTCAGACAAACCACATCTAATAACATAAAGGCCCATTATCATATTTGTATTGGCCTCTACAATTTTATTCCAAGCATGT